CGCTTTATTTTCCTTTTGGTTCTCTCCCTCCATTTGCAAGCTTTGACATAATGATTTCTTTTGCCTCGATTACCAAACATCACCCCATATATATATAAGGAACTCTTAAACAGGATCAATTCTGCAATTGTGAAATTTTTTTACCACCTCTGAAGTATCCGAGAGGCTTCATGGAAGCTCCTAAACCTCTTATTTTCAAGCTGTCACAAACAATCTGATCTGTTTTAAAGTGAAATCTGACAATCACACAGACCAGTCACGCACCACAAATTTTTAAATTTACTGTTTTGCTGATCAGTTTATCTCACTTTGATTACACGTGCTGAAAGGCACATCTTGCAGAGGGTGTATTTTCTGCATAAAAACCTTTCTGCCTGCACTTTTATGATATGCCATGGTGCAGCTGGACCTTTCTAGAGACCTCTGTGGCCCAGGGCAGGGCAGAGTCTTACTGACAGTGATCACATCAGCTCAGCACTGAAACACCTGAATCACTGGAAAAAAAATGTACATTTTCAAACACAGAGTTTTCTAAAGCTTAGCTCTTAATTTTAGCCCAGCTGGGGTGTAATTTTTTGAACGTGTGGGACTGACATTTCTCATTGCTATCCTTGCGGTGGATCAACTCGCCTGAAATAGATGGCATCCATCTATTTTCTCTTGAAATAGCATTACTCACACTAGAAGAGCTCCTCTGTAAATAGTATCTCGAACACTGACAATTGACATAGAATGAGATGGCTACTCAGAGGTGAAAGAGTCATCGGGGATAATTTCTTTTTTCCCCCCAACTGTAGAGGATATATATGTGCACACCATAATCCCATCTATCTTAGGAGAATGCTTTAATTCAGGAAGAGAAATAGCTTTGAACTCTCATGCTGAGCAACGCTGAGAAATAGGAAACCTTCAGCTTAACTCCCCCTGAACTCCCCGGGCACCCAGAACCGCAGCCGATATTTGTGATTTACACCACATCCCAAAATACTTCCCGGTGATGCCCAAGGTTTTGTTACGGGTTGATGTGAGATTGCCATCAGACTCACCTAATTACAGGCTCACCTGTCCTCCCTTCCACTGGTCTATCAGCTTGGCCTGTGACACAGCTGCATTCTCGGTTTACTAAATGAATTTTCAATACTGCTGAGCCAGTTCTGAGAACTCCAGGCAGAAAGGACACGGAACAGACGTGCTCAGGGGCAGTCTGGAGTCACTCTTCCAAATGCCAGAGATACAATTCCCTCGATCCCTGAGAGAGCAGACACTTAGGCGAGAGGATGTTAAAAAAAAAAAAGAAAAAAAAAGATGCCTGAAACTTGGGTAACTGGTTTGATCTGCCTTGCTTTACCAATGACAGCAGTTTTTGTAAGACTGAGGTCCAGACTAGGCATTAATTCTAGCTATGACCAGTATAAAACAAAAAGGGTGGCATTTGAATGAAAAAAAATATCAGTTGCTGTTCCAAATTTCCTTTTACTATGGATGTGAAAGCAAATATTTCTTTTGCTTAGTTTCAACATTATCTGCTCAGTCCCCCTTCAGGTTGTCAGACTTTCATGATGGGAAGACCTGAGAAATCAGCAAAACGATCAAGGAAAGTAGACAAACTATAAAGGAAGCAAAAAATCACTTTTTGTTGTAAGTAGAACTAAAACACATCCAAACCCAGAAGACAATTTAGTTGACATCACTAATTAGCCCACTGAGGCAAGGATTGTTTTGCTATGCCACGCTATCTTTTCCACCCAGTGCTGGGAAGCTCATCCTTAGCCAACCCACACCCCAAGAGAGGCAGATCATTCCCTGGTGTTTCTGGCATTTCTAGAGGCACCAGCAGAAGACACCTTCCAAAGACTTTGGTTTTTTTTTTTTTCCTGATTTTGGCTGGGCAGAAGCAGAGGAATCAAGCTTATTGCTCTGCTCTGCTTCACCCATTTAGGAGAAACAAGACACAAATGCTGCCAAGCTGCTGCCAACAGCTCTGCGAGGGCCTCCTCCCACACCTCCAGTACATCCCACCCTCGGCACCTTCCTCCTCCCACCCCGTTTCTCTGATACAAACGTGGGTGAGAGGCCAAACCTGGGATCAGGCTGAAAAATCACCTCTTCAGCTGCAAAGGTACTTCAAAAAAACACATATTTGGTTTTCTTTAATGCTTACCTTCACAGGTAAGTTTGCCCTTAAAATTAGCGCTAACCCGAACGTATTTTGGTGATTCTCTGATTCTAATCTCGTAGACCTTGAATAAGGATTTCCTGCTTGGAGTCTGGAGACACAACAGCAGCAAAGCCCACACATTCTAGCACCTGGGTGAATATTTTGCACAATATTCAGGTAGGAAAACAAATCTGCATATTGAACACGGCCAGAGGGAATCCAGTGTAAAGAAGCCCTGGATTACAGCAAATACATTTCCAGTTCTTGTGAGAGGAAGAGCAGATTTAGAGTTAATCAAACAGCAATCAATCAACTGCATTATATTAGGAATAAAAGGATTTTTCGAGCTCTGGTTTAATTTCATGAAAAGCTCCTGGTCTCAGCTTTGTGTTTGAGGGAGGGCATGATCTGCTGCAGAACCTCTAAGCCTTTCCTCACCCAGGTGGATCCACGTGTGTGCATGTCTAAGCTCAAAGGCACTCAGAGAGCCTGGGGACAGGTCAAGGAGCACAGGTGACAGGACCAGTCGTTTGAAAGAAACTACAGAAGAGAGAAGGACAACCTAAACCCACGATGTCTCCTGCTGTAAAAGAGCATCCAGCCCTGGAGAACCACTGGCTGCAGCCCCAGCACCTCCTGACCTGTTCTGGCCAGGTAACTCTGTGCCCTTTGCCAAGGTGGTTTCTCCCCATCACAGTAGAGACACACATGAAAGAGAAGCCTCAATCACTCCAGATCCTGTTGCAGCCACTTCTGTCTCAAAGAGAACATAACAAGGCTTTACTTCCTAAAATTCCACTCAATTCCAATCAGAACACTTAAATGAAACAATCAAGTGTAAGGCACTGCTGAAGCAAAGATTTGGCTCCCAGTCAGAAATCCACCCATCAGACTTCACTTCATCCCCTCACACTGCACAGCTGAAGCAGCAGCAAAGAATTTAAATTTCAGATATATGGACCTTGTTTTATGTTTGTTTGTTTGCTTGTTTTGGTTTGTTGGTTTTTTTCCACTGGGCATGACTTTTGACACCATGTGTCCATGTGTTGTCAATCTTCTGATGATGATTTCATTAAAAATAAAACAAACCTGAGTTTGACCCTTTTTATCAGTTTATTGATAAAAACTGATGTGAGGGACTATCCACTGGCAGCTAGCAGCAAGAAATACTCCTTTTTAGCCCCTGCAAGTAATATTTGCAGATTAAATGCAATACCAGCAGTTCAGTAACACCTCTGAGGTCAGTGACCAGCTGAATCAGAATTACTGCTGCTTTCTACCAGTAACAGAGAAGAATTAGATACGAAACATTCAGATACCCTAGACTGGATAGTTTTATTTTTTTTTTTCAATTTATTCCACCACGAGTCTTCCTTACACCACTTTAAATTTCAATGAGCATTAAAGATGTACCTTAAGAGGAAGAGGAGCTTGTTGGTAGGTACATTTTTCTGCTGGCAGAATATGTTCCTCAAACAGTCATGTGTTATCACAACACTCACTTAAGGTTTTACATCAGGCTGTATCATGGGGCCCTTTTAAAACCCCCTCATTAATGATGATTATGTAAGTACCATTAGATGTGAGACATTCCCATATTGCTCGTAGGAGTTATGATTTAATTCTGTTACAATCTACTCTACCATTTGTATAATCACTCCTGACATTTTACCTTTTGTTTTGTAAGAGATTATTGTCTGACATAGGGAGAAAGAAAAAAAAAAAAAGATGATATTTTCGTAGTCATTGCAATCTGATCGAAAAGACGCTATTAATTAAATCTTGTACACAGTTGTACATGAAGGCTCACTGACAGCTCTTGGGGGAAGATAAATTACTGGAAGACCATTGTTATTTAGGTCTCTGAGGCAACACAGAGGCTCTAATAAATCCCACATATATCCCTGTGAGTCAGGTCATTATTCAGCATTTGTGGGGAATAGTTCCACTTTGCCCTTTAGGCCTGGCTCAGTGTGGTCCATGACTCCAGGGACCACTACAAAGGAACATATAAATGTATATGTACTTCTAAGCAGAGAGAAGGTCCACCTCACAAACACAGAAGAGAATTTTCTTAAATTATTACAATAAGCATCATTTTTTGTTCATTGTAGTGCCTGTATGCTTAGAGGGAATAGGGAATTTCATCAAGAAAGAAGTTCTGAAAGTTCCTACTTACCTTAGTCACACAGGAACATGGGGGATTGAATTTTCCTCCTTAATGTGCCCTTTGAGCTGGGGCTGGGGCTTCTGAGTACTCTGAAGGTAAATGTGATGTGACTAGGGATCAAATTGCTTCACAAGGAAAAGTTCCTCACAGTCAGGGCAGCTGCTTAAAATGCAACATAAACAAACAGGGTCTGTGTCAATATTTTGACTTTGTGTAAACAATTCAAGCGGTATCACTCTGGAGTTAATGACACATAATGCTGTATCAAATGCTCTGAAAGGGTTTTAGTGAATTAATCTGCATTTGTGCTCTGGAGGAAAATTGCTCTCTGCGGTGGAAAAAATGTGAACTTCTGTGCTCCTGTTAAATATGATCCCAACAAGGTGTGGAGGTTCCACAAAGAATCCTGGAAAAGGGCTTCACTGCTACCAGGTAAATGGGAAAAGAAGGATTTTCAGACCCTGCACTGTCTTTAATCCCTTTCACAGAGCTTCAGAAATCGGTCAGATTGATAGACTGGAATATGTGATTTTGTCTGGGTAAGTATAAATGAAATATTTCTTACAACTCTGGTGCTACATCTCCGGGCAAACACTCTTTCTCCTTTTTGCAACATCAGGAGTCTGAGCTGGAGAGGACGTTGATCATATTAATAAAGCTAAGGGAAAGCAATCTGTACATAGGAGTTTATTTAGATGCCCACAAATTTTAAATCATTCCCCTTTATATCTCAGCCCACTGGATATCCTATCCAACTGAATTACCATTGGGTTTTACAATGTGATATACAAAATGAGCTGACATTATGATTTACAAACATCCTTTGAGTATCATATAAAACACAACTCTTTCCCTTATTATACAATCATCAGGGCAATGCAAATAGAGTCAACACATTATTAGCTGAAAATGATGGGGCATTTTAAGAAAATAAATTTAACTTTACCACACAAACCTGTTAACTAAAACAAAACCCATTTAAAAAAATGGGAATAAAGTTGTCTCAATGATTAAAGTAATTTCATCTTCTTTGCTCTCCACTGTCCCCTTATAAACATAATAGTACTTCATTTAAAAGACGACTAATTTTTTTTCACTGTATAGTCACACTTCATTCTTATTAATCAGTTTCACATTTTCTGCATGAAACTATGAAAAACTCACAAATGTAGACTTTCCAAACTGTAGCCACTATACTTATTTCTGCAATCTTTTCCGTACACTCAGTGTGTTTGAGGAAATAAACAGAAAGAAAGAAAAAACACCACACAATGAGCAGAACAAAACACAACAGCACGTTAAAAATGTGACATTTAAGCCGTAGATGCATCGCCATAGAAATATATTCCTGTTCTAATGCCACAAACCTTCTAGCCTCATGAAAAAAAAACAACAGACATCAGTTGAAGAGAATCTAAACTCCAACTTCGATATGGGGCTAGGAGTTTTAATTTATATTTCTGTCTAAACTTAGGTACTCAGCAATGAAAAAAACCGAAATATTTCTGGATGTCGTAAGACATGAAAAGATAAAAATCTGTTTCTGAGCTGTTAACTGGGTAATGGAAGCTACCAAGCAATGGAAGTTGAGGCCTCCTGTCCGGCGTGTCACTGGCACAGGTGCCTCTGCACTCTGTCACTGTGGGAGCAGTGACGGAGGATGGCAGACATCATTACCACTGCAAGCACACACACAAAAAAGGAAAAACTCTGAACTCATCAATGATGTTGCAAACGCAAGCAAATTCTACCCTAGCCAACTTAAATTACATCATCTTAGGGGTCTCTGTTGTATCGCTGTATAATCCAGAGGAGCTGTACTCAACGGAATGCTGGTAATGCCCGGTGACTCTTTCCTGAATATGTGTTGAATTGGCAATGGAATGGGGGTTTAGTTCCATTTCTCACTATAGGAGTCTTGCTGCTCTGCACATTTGGAGAAGAAAGTGCTTTTTCTGCCATTTCATTAAGTTCATGGCACTTAATTTTATAATTTTTCTAAGACAGACTTATTTTGACTACTTCCATTCTGTCCATACCTTTGAATGGTTTAAAATGTTGGACAGCTGTGAAATATAAGTACTATGCAATTTGACTGTACATACATACATATTTTCATAAATACATCTAACAGGGACCTTGGAACTAAGTATGTGATATCATGGGACAAAAACCACGACAGGCTGTTCTTATTTGTAAAATCTAGCTTCAAAGTAAGAGGAGCTGAATCCTATCAATGTCGTCAGTACACAAAATCAAAACAAAAATACAGCATTAGTTTAGCCATGAAATAACTTAAAACATCTTTGCGAATTCCTTGACGAGGAAAAGTGTGTCATTTACAACACTGAAAACTTTTTAGCAACCATCGACTTCTACGCGCTGTACTGTGGGTCACCCGGACAAGGATGAGCGTAGTGATCGGTCCCAAAAGGCAACTCCCAAACACCCTCCTCGCTCGGAGGCTTTGGTAATTGTCTGTTGTATAAAATGCCAACGCACACAACGGCTTCCTTTCAGGTGTTAACTCCATCAGCGTTCCTCCCTCGGCACAGTCCAGCCTGAGGAGGTCAGTTGTTGTTGAGACACTCTAAATCCACCGAGCAGCACACGTTCCCGTTCTGCACAGACAAACAAGCAGGTGTCAAGTCATGCAGAGGTGCACACCCACTGCCTACAAAAAAGAAAACCCTGCTTCCATCATCCCAGGGGTCGCCTGTTGCTCCCAGGGGTGGCTTTTTGAGGAGGCCGACTGGGACAAACAGCGCTGAACTGGCCTGGACTACACAGGAACCAGAAACCTGGATGCGGTCCCCGAAACAAAATACAGCCCAGCAACGGCAACAGAGGTGACTGGATTTTTTCCTCTCATGGAAGAAAGTTAATGGAAAGAGTTTGTGGCAGGGGAGCCTACCCCTGATAAAACCTAAAATCCAACACAGTGCAAGCTATCAGCTGCTGGGTCCAGGGGGCTGTCTTGGTGTTAAAGTGTTCTAAGACTGTCCTTGTTCACCAGGCTTCGAATACACATCCTGCCACTGGGTGAGTTACATCAGATCTCCAATTAATAATTACTTCTTTTTGCTAGCTTTAATATAACTGCTTCAAGAATTGCTTTGTTACAGTGCACTCTACTACTTTATGCTATATTACACTCCACTAGTAGATTTTTAGTGTTTATATTGTGTAGTAAATAGTTCTGATTAAGATCTTTTGTCTGATCATTTGTATAAAATAAATTATTTGTTTTATATAAATATTCTCATTTTGCCAATCATTAAAACCTGCGGGACAAAAGTTGTTCAGTCCTACCTCTAAAATTCCTTAAAGTTAAACCATTAACATAATCCAGAGTTGGGTTTAGCTGCACATAGACTCCTCTCTGAGAAGGGGTTTAGAAAGCAAGGGAATCCTCTCTGTACCTCAAGACTCACCAGCAAGGCTTTGCTTTTTAACAACTTTGTCTAAGCCTTCCACTCCCACCCACGACAGAGTTTTGATGTGATCCACATAGGGAAGGTTTCTGGTTTTTGTTTGTTTGTTTGGGTTTGGTTTTTTGTTATTGTTTTTTTTTTAAATCCAACAGAAATCAACACAAATAATATTTTTTTTAAAAAGGGCAGGAAAGCTACCTTCAATAATGTAAAGCCCTGGAGCAACAGCTTGCTCTCCCACAGTGAAGAGAAGAACATTTTATATAACTCAAAACAACATTTTCATAATTCTGATATTAGCACAGTGGGGTCACCACTGCACAAAGCAAAGGAGTTAGACTGCACTTCTGCATTAGAGCCATTGGATATATGGCTATATATGGATATATATCTTGATGAGATCAGGGAACAGAAACTGTGACCCTTGCTGTTACTGTTGAGAGAGTGGCTTCCTCTGTGAGCTGCAGTGCCCTTTTACTTGTGGACTTGCTGGTGAAACCTTTTTCTTAGTGTTTTTGCCTCAGCTTACCAGGTCTGTAACACACATTTCCATGAGCACCCACACCAGGCAATCATTGAAACCTTAGCCTGGATTCATACTGAGAATGCCTGCAGGGCACTGCAACAGAACTACTGCACTAGGATGTTAACATATCTGTGCTCAACGTTTCCAACAAGGAGAGAACTGTTTTGTTTGCACTCTGCAACATAGGAAAGATTTTTTTTTTTTTTTTGGTGGGCTCTCAGGTCTCATTTAGTTCCCCAGGATTTTAATGTGAGAGAGTGACCTCGACTGTGTTCAGGACATGCACCCATCCCACTGTACCTTGCACTTGCAGGTTGTACAAGGAGATCCCACCATTGTCCACACAGCGCCGCTGAGCCTTGTGATTCCATAGCCGTCCGGACAGGTTTTCCTGATGTCATAGGTGATGTTGTCAGCCAGACACGGGTCACTGACACAGTGGGGACAGCACTCTCCCTCCGAGATGGCCGTGTACTCGCAGTTTAGACTCGGGCACTGAAGAGGCCAACAGTCCACCTCTCCTTCCTACGAAAATTGAAGCAAATCTCGTTGAATTTGTTGCCGTTTATGAGTTACCGAGAAACCTTCTTATCCCGCTGAATGGAAAATTTTTGTTTTGCCAAAACTGCAATAAACTGAATGGATCGGGTCTCAGTTTGGTTGATCACACAAATTCATGTTTGAATACTAAGCTGAAGTTTCCTAAATGTAGCAGATTATCATCTGGTTGTTTCTTGACTAAACAACAACACTGTCATCATCATAGCAGGGGAACTTGAGTTCTCTGGGGTTTCTGAAGACAGGGTTAAATACTGGGTTCCAATATTTTCCACACAAACTATAATTTTTGCAGTGATTGCCTTGCAGACTCCTGAACTCTTTCTATTCCTGGTCACATAAACATCTCTGTGGGATCACAGCAAGCATTTAAATAGAAAATTAACACTGCAGATAGATGTAGGTTAGTATGCTTGACAAGCATTAAACACTGATCTAACTAGCAGCAGACAATATTGACTCCTAAAGGAATTGCTAGAGCAATACCATTTATGTTCCACTGACTTACTTTATTATTTAGCTTTGTGAAAAAACAAACAAACAAAACCAAAATGGTTAAGTATCTAGAGAGATACTGAGACAGAAACACCAGGTCACTTCTGCAGAGTACTGCTCTGTGTGTCTAAACTTAACCTGCGAAGGGCCTCAATAATTTGCATTATGCTACTCTGGAAACACTTCAGATGTTGAGAACATCACACACCACACAGGACCTTACATGTAGCACTGATTTAGGGCACCACTGTCTTACAGCTCTGTATGTTATCCCCATCATAAAATTGGGCAAAGAACTGCCAGCCACAGCCTCAATACTTTGTGCATTATGGATAATTATCTTGTAACAGTAACTTAGATTTAAATGCAATTTCCTTCCTGATGCTCAGACACCTCTTGATTAGTATCATATATAACAACTATGATATACAGACAGCTATAAATGGAAAACTGATAATTTTAATGAACTTCACTGATGCACTAATTAGTGTATCTGTGGAAAACTTAAAGCTTTAAGGAAACAATCTACAGTGTCTAATGAGAAAATAAGTGCTCTTTATTTTGCATGTTCTTCTAGTAATTTCAGTTTTCTTTAGCCTTTTTTATTTATTTTTTTTTTCCTAGCTTACAAAGTGGTACTGGCCCTTTGTGTTTCCAGCATTTGTTGAATAAAAATAAATAAATAAATAAATAAAAAGTACTTCATTTTCCATTTTGCTAAGACAGCCACACCAGCTGATATAATTAAAAACTGAAACTTCCCCAACCAAACCCATCACATGGGAGGGGGTGGAAATCTGAAAAAGCCATTTAAAGATCAGACAACCTTACAGAAAGTTCTCAAAAGCAGACCAACGCCATCATTAATACAGCACCACGGTCTCCAAGCTTTTGTCAGGCTTTTAACTTTGCTCATTAGACCAACTCATCCATCGGAAAGAGGGAAAACCGACGGTGCAGCTTTCAGCTCTCTGGGGCTCCGTTAAGCGCTGTGCCATCCTCCCCAGCCCGAAAAGCAGGGGAAGGAAGAGCAGGTATGTTTTAATAATAAAGGATTATGACTATTATTATTATTATTATTATTGCTCCTATGCAAAGCGCTGTTCCCATACCAGGCAGCGGCACTGCTGGCAGCTGTAGGTCCAGTTGTCCCCGCTGCGGTAGAGCTTGTGCCCGGTCTGGTCGAGGCACTGGCTGGTGACGCGGGTGTCGCACTCGGGGCAGCAGAACAGGTCGGCGCTGGGGTTCCTGCAGTCACAGGCCGTCCTCCGGCAGAAAATCCGCCCGTCCTGCGGGGACACATCGACCTGGCGTCAACCCACAGGCTCCCAGACAGCAACCCAGGTGAGGTCACAGGGTGAGGGGGTGGTATAGAGCAAAGGGCACATCTCTGGCATGTCAGGAAACATTGGGTTCTTAGTGCTGCTGATAAGGGTTGGATCTTGCCTGTTGCAACATGACAAATACCGGTGTTATCCCCATTTCTGTCAGCATTGCCTGAATCTGAGAATAGTTTGCCTGCCTCCAGCTAACTGAGTTTAAAACGAGTCAGGATATCTCAGAAGAAATATAGCAAAGGAATTTCATATCTCATTGGTTTACATCAACGAGCCATTCCAGCAGCTGCCACTCTAACACATATAACATTTATTTAGCAATACTTTGGCTGAACGTATAGCTATGAAGAAAATAAGTTGAATAAAGGTAGAAAATAAGTTGAATAAAGGTAGAAAATAAGTTGAATAAAGGTGGCCCCTTCAACTTCATCAGAGCAAAATACAGCAAAGTCACAGTAGCACCACTTGCTCTTTATTCTCACATCTCACATCTGGACCCACAGTACACCAGCTTAAAGAAGAGACCTTAGAGACCATCTTATTCCAATGCCCCTGCCATGGGTAGAGACCCTTGCACTAGACCAGGTCGCTCAGCACGTAGCAAGGGGGTGGATTGCTTATGATTTGATGCAGGGAGGTGTGCTTGGCTCTTATTTTAAAGCAAAGCCAGTCTTGGCCACAATGCAACACAAAATTAGCACCAGGGAGCCACAATACCCACGTCAGTCACTGTCATTGCTGCATTTCATCACAGTTTTGAATGGGTCAGAATATGGCACCCTATTGTTAAGAATAACTAAAATGAATTCTTAAGCCTAACAAGTAAAGCTGAAGAGAACACAGAATTACAGAAATGTAGAAAACATGCCAGGTTAACACGGATCTGAATTGCTTTTGCCAACTGTAGGGCATAGATTACTATGCAGGGTTTATTCAGTGTTGTATCAAATTAGGATAAGAAGAGATTTGGTACTAGTGGCCAGATTGCTTTAGCTGTGGGAAGAGGAATAAAAAAGCTTTATTTCCTTACTCTGCAATTTGAGTAAGTGGCCCATTTCCTTAGCAACAGGTCTGGCCAGGTCCAAATGCACATCCAAAATCAGCTTAGCACAAGAGTTCTGTCAGGATGACCAGGTGGTGTTGTGCCAGGAATCCAGGGGACCTTCACCATGGCAGTCTCTCTCCTCTTCTGTGCTCATTAATAATGGCTAACAGTGGCCTGCCTGCTTCGATCCAATTCAGTTCCTCCTAAGCTCTCAAGATTAGTTTTCAAATTTGCCCTTCTGGCTGGTGACACTGCTGGTAGTTCTGTGTTTCCCTGAGCATCTTTTATGCTACCTTTACTCTCCATATCTCAGAACAATGACAAAAAAGCCTGATGAGTTCGCCAGAGAACTTTTGGTAATCATAATACACGGCTACTCTCTTCAGTCTCTAAGCATCTGTGTTTTGTCTACAACCTCATTAGCTCAATACCTTTCAAAAAACCTTTTTATCCCTATACTGCAGTGACATAAAGCCTCTTAGGGTACAGCATCCCACATACATCTTTTCAGCTCTACAGTAGCACTGAGAAATATGTAGGAAATTAAAAAATAGAGAAAACTTGATTTTCTTTGGGTTTAATAATATCTTATTATTAACTCTTCCTCCTCACCTTCCTCCCTGCATGAGTTCTACGTGCTTCAAAAGCATCAGTGGTATGAACTTTTTCAAGATAATATCTATGTGCTTCAGCCAATGCACAAAATACATCCACCTGACCTTTCCTAGAGTAACTATAGCAAGAGAAAAGCCCATTTTATTTTAAAACAGAAATGCTGATTTTTCTCCTGGGTAAAACAAGCAAGTAGGATCATTTCAAAGTTCAAGTCAGTAGTACAAGGAATGGTTTAGTCACTCTCTACTCTTTTCCTCCCTGCAAACTGAGCAGGATGCAAAAGATCAAGCAGGGCCAGGTCTCTGTGCAATTGCATGAGAAGGACAGGTTTGAGAAGTAGCCTGGTGTATTGGAAGCTATCACTTCCAATGTACAAAAATGCATTTGAATAAACACTGAGTGAAGACTTTACAGTCTGCCTGAGATGTGATAGAGGAGGAGGAGCTCTCTCTCTTTTCCCTGTTCTATAGACAAGAATTTGGCTCTTGAAACAGGCAGCTACTGGAACGAAATTAAATGCAAATGTTAATTCACAAGGAGAAAACTGAAGTGAAGAAGATGCAAAGGAAGAGTCATAGCAACAAACAGTGTCAGGCTTAGTTTAGACTATCTATGTACTAGTTAATCATTTCTATATTTTCATACACCAATAAGAGCATTCAACATAAGAAATACGTGCGACGGCAAAGAAAACAAATTGCAAACAACCTGAAATGGGAATACTAATAGTTATAATTCTGCAAAGGCAGACCAGATGTCTTCACATATATTAAACTGTTTATTCTATTGACTGGAAATCCTTTCGTAAGCCTGCCAGTTCCTCAAGAATTACCATAAAAGCCTGATATATATTCAGCGGAGTTGTACACTTCAGCTTCTGAAAGGAGGAGTTTTAGGGAGCTTGAGGCAACTTGAGGTAAAAAATACAGCAACTAACAAGAACATATTCCCTACTGAGCCCAATCCAGCAGCGTACTTTGCAGGTTCTATTCATCTGAAGTCTTTATTTTCCCTTCTGCTACACCATTGCAAAACAGAAACGATGAGGCTTTCACCTTCTTGCGGCTTCAAAAACACCTCTTCCCCTTTGTCCCCCTTCAAACCCTCTCGTGCTTCTCTGGCTCCTAAGCATTCAGACATGGAGACTGAGAGGCCAAATCCCATGCTCCATCTTCAGCTTCTTCACAGTGGCCAAAATCTAATTTTCCTTGCCCTGATGTATGAGCCTGCAGTGCTCTGCCTATGGACAGCTTTACCCACCCTACTAATGAATCAGGTCACAGGGACCATAAAAGACAAACTACTTCTCAGGTTAGGGCAATCTTAAAATTCTTCTGATTTCAATGACAGCATTCCTCTGTTAGCTGGTGAAAATCAAGAAAGCAGAGCCAAATGCTCTTCTAACTTGGTTACCATAGTCAGAAAAAAAAACACCTGATAATTTCCAGAGGAAAAAAAACCACAAACCAAAACAAACCAAAAACACACCCTCCTCCTGATCTAAGTCTTAGCTCTAAGGTAGATCTTACTGATACTAGACCTGGCTTCTCCAAAGGTGCAGAGGGAGTTGCACTGCTCAAGTGGGAGAGCTGCCAGCACAGCCAAGGTGGGATGAGGAGGAAGAAGCTGGCCATCACCCTTCTTCACTTGAGGAAATTAAGTGCCTGCTGCTGGGTCCTCTAACCTTTGACTCATGCTCAGACCTGTCTTCTCACACAGCTCATTCACACGTATTCCAAGTAAAGGGAAACACCACCAACAGGAATTTGGCTGCCTACAGCACTGAGAGATGCATATCCTCATCAAAGGGAAATTAAAAGCAGTTTTCAGCTGCAGTTTCCAGTAAGCGTGCTGGAAGGTTGTGTTAAAGGGTAGTGCAAGACCCTCTTCAAGGCACACTCTGAGATGCTCTGGCCTACAGGGTGACACGGCAGAGGTTCAGCAGGATTAGCCATTGTTCAGCTGGGCATATATTCCCAAAATAAGAAAAGAAATGCCCTCCCAGAAGAATATCCCCATCCCAGCTTCAGTGCCCACAGCAGAGCTTACCTTCTGCCTCAGTGCCTTACGCTAATATTTTTGCCAACACCGGTAGCACTGCAATATTGGGTTCCTGACACAAGCCCAGAGAATTACAGGGCTCCTGAAGCCCAGACCAGCTGGATCTCACCTTGCAGGAGCAAACGGAGCATCTGTCCTCTCTCAGGGTCCACACCTGCCCGTTGCGCTTGAAGCCGCCTTCATGGGGACAGTCTCCAGTGCAAGATGGTCCGGATGGACAAAGACAATCAAACCCTCCTGCCAGGTTCACACAGGCTGAATCATTCCAACAGGTGTGGGTCTTCAAGGCACACTCATCAATGTCTGCAAAACAGCGGATTTATAAAGCTTTGGACGCTTTTCTCATGTGGTGAGTTTTATTTCTGCATTAAGTAATTATTGCTAATCTGTCCTGCTGGCGGATGAGGGGTTATTTTGATGAGCATTTATTTTGATTCCACCAAGAATTCTTAAACTATCTCCATCAGGCTTAATTATAAATGCTGAGTCTGACATAGTTGGTGGAACCATGTATCAGAGACAAACTTTAACCTTCAGACAAGGGTGTATACTGATTTCCCGGTGACTGGAAACTACTGATCATTCAGAGTGACCTTCTGTCAACTAGACCACTCTCTGTTCTGGATTTTACATCAAAATAGAGGTGCACTACCCTTGGTAAGTTCCTAGCATGAGCAACATTTCCCATAATTAAAGCAGTCAGTTGCATCCTTTTCCCATTGCTAGAAGGTATAAGTGAACTGGAGGGTGTGGAGTGGGAGAAAAAAAAAGAAATCAGATGCACCTGATACAGAAAAAAAAAGTCTTAAAGCTATGCAGTATGATTTTGCAATGACAAAAAGAATAGGTGACAAGATAAAATCATTATACACCAGAGAAAAGCGAATTACAGGATCCCATTAAAATTGCTCTCGGAGGGTAAAATATAATTATGCAATATGAATTTATCTGGGGAGTTCATGCAGTTCTCTGGGGAGTTCTCTTGCAGTGAAAGCTACGAGATTTTTCAGCACATTGTTAAAAGCAGGTATTTCTTTCAGAAAATAATTTTGGACTTTTCTCTAAACAATATATTGACAGATTGTCCAGTTAAAACACCAGTAAATTACTGGGTCTCTTTTGTCCCAACATGAACAACGAAAACTGTTAAGCAACAGTGGAAAGAAGGCTGAGGAGGAAAGTCCTTTAGATGTATGTGATAGTTTCTGTCACGAAAATTCCAGAATAGTATCAGATGCAATCAGAAATTAAAAGGAAGAACCATCACACTTACCATTTAAAATGACCTTATGGCTAGTGTGAAATTAAGAACTGTTCAATATTACCCAATGGGACTTTCAACTCCTCTCTAAAATAACAAATTTCAAAATTCAATAGAATTTATAAAGGACAGTTACTTAAAGTTTAATTTAGGTGGGATGCAATGGCCAGTTGCGCTACTTTTTGGACAAGTGCTATGGGTTCACGAGTCATCTCCTCGAAATGTCATCCCTTAAAAAGACTTTAACAATTCCCTCCATCAGAGAAGGACACTCTCTCTAACAATCAAGTCACTAAGTTCAGTCTGATCAGGTGAGTACAATTGCTGATTTCAATTCACAAATAGTCCAGGAGCGAGTGGAAATGTGGTCGTGCCCCTGGACTTGACTAAACGCGCGACGGAGTGGAAGCTTTGGGCCACCAGAAAATGGATGTTCCTCTTTGTGCTTATGGACCTAAAGGGAAGCTGGAGGCAATTCCACTGCAGAAGGGCTTTGCTCCTGGGCTAACCTGTGGGCCAGTCCTTTGTTAGGAATGTTCCCAGTGGCCCAAGGCATAATTTAATTGCTCGTCACTCAGACTGGCCTAAAAAATGGAGTATTTTCTGTCCTGACTGTCTTAATTGCCAGAAAAAAATATTATTGCCCTAATGCAGAGCTTAACCCTTACTTAGTACTTGAAATATCCACTATCAGTGGTGTAAAAGGTGCAGGACTAAGAGAATTAAAAATTGTAGTTCCTTGTTTAACAAGTGGCAGAATATCATAGGATGTAACAACCATGGCGACTGATATGAAGAGATCTATAAATGAACTGGTGTCAAATGAATGATATCCAAATAGTTACTGTAAAACTTAAAACATTCTTAAAGATATCCCATCTTCCTTTCAATAGACTTTGACATGTGGTTTTTGTTGAAAACAAAGGTATAAATGAAGCGTTCACTCTGCCTTTGGTGGTTTCACCAAGTATCATCAATATTGTCTTCCCCATCACATTAAGAGCTCCTTGAATATAATCTATATAGGATGCAGTAGAATCACAGTACAGATTAGAAGGGTAGCTTTCACAGCTCAAAACTAAAAGGATTTCACAGATGAATATAAAGCCATATTGCCTACAGAGTTGCATTTAATTGCTTTACTTATGACACTGAAATCTAATTCTGCTTCCATGTAATTTAACAGATTTATGGAAAGCCAGATGTTAGCAATTATAGAAACTAACATTATTCATGTTCTCAGTAGTACAGACCTGTTCACACTGTACAAAGCCAACTTAATCTCTTATACATATGCAAAAGGGAGGAACACCCTATTTACGTCCTGACACCGCTGTTCGCTGTTTAGCACACACAAAAAGGATGTCCCCATTAAGAGCAGCCCAAATTGGTAAATGGAAGATTCTTGACAATAAAAAAAAAAAAAGCCAATCAACCAAAGCACGGACATAAATTCCTAATTGCTACTCAGTTTGCTCATTTATTTTTTTTCCCCGTTCTTTATGCAAATGATGGTTTCCTATTATTTTATGGCATTTATTATTTAAAAGTTTTAGTCATTAATCAGATAGAAAAGGCTTGGACACTGCACTCATTTTCAGCTGAACTTTTAATAGAACTAATTTTCTGAGAACATCCCTTTGGCAGGTTTTTTTTTTTCTTGTCACTGACTGCATTTCTTAAAGTCAGAACAAACAGCCAAGGTTCCCAGAAACTTGAGGAAGAAAAGCTGTAACATCTTTTGTCCCTGTCACTCCTTCAGCCTCAAACCAGGCTGGGGGAGAGGGAAGGAAAAAAACCCCAAATGCTCCCAAATTGCCAGCTCTCAGTTAGCTTAAGAAAATATTTCAGTTTAATGGAGTTCAAATGGACTTGCTCATATCGATGCAAGATCAGCATGTACGTGGCTATACAAAGCAGGGAAGAAAAGACTCATTTTTAATGTGAAATTTCTCTTAGCAAGTAGAATCAACGTGTCTACTTAGGTGTTGAAAAATCAGTCCAGTTTAAAAATTACGACCATGTCCAAAACAATTGGACTTTATTACGAGACTTTTGCATAGAAATGATTTTTATGTTATTCAAGTCCTTGCTTGGCTCAAATTCCTCACACTCAGGTTTTGTTTGCTTTCCCACAACTGCTCTCTGAAGATGAAGGCCCAAAACTGGAACATTTAAGGATGGGCAAGGCAAAACCTGTACACAAATCTCATTTCCCATTATAACAACACAAAGTAGGAAGGAAATTAAATATTAATTTATTTATCAAGTAACCTAGAAGACCACTGGAAATAGCAAGTAGAGTCCATATTCTTTCCCCATATATATAGGACAAAAAAACCCTCTGACTTTAGGTTTATGGGCATTAGTTCTCTCATGTATCCTGTCAACCTATGAAAACAATCTCATTTTCACACCTGGAATACGACCTTGCAATCTTATTCATTATATTGACATTTTCTGTGGCACAAACCACTAACTAATACAAGTGAAAGTGGCAGAACTTCACTCCCCCCTCCACACAGTTCCTTTCCAAGGAAAAGCACGGATGCAGTTGAAACCACCATATTGACCAGAAACTTGCTCGCACTGCAAAGCCTCTTGCTGTTTTCTACCAACAAGGTATAGTCAACAGCCAAAGGCATTGCTGCCAAGACACGCCAACTATCACAAAACTGATCAAAATCTTCCCCCTTCAAACACTCCAGTCTGTGCCTCTCTAAGCAAAGGTACAGCCAGGAGTACCTGACTGCACGTGTTTCAGCAACCACTCACATTTTGTGGGTGAGAAAAGAAAGGAAACAGACCACCCAAGACGGGCTCGATTCCCCAAAATACTCTTAAAGTGCACAGAGAGCTTGGTAATGCAGGCAGACGAGAAAACAGAATCAAAATGGAAGCAAATAACCCCTTGAGATGCAATTTTCTTTTCCATCCTTTTTTGACTGTAATGAGAAGTAATTTGGCTCAGATATTATGAGAGGTCCCATGGCCACTGCACTTGAATAGGGTAGAAGACAAGCATGACTGTACATATCAACACAAGTTCATTAACTTGGTTTCACTGAAATTTTAAACCAATCCCTCGCTACTTCATTTCTTAGTTTTCAAGGCTATTCAGGTTTTAATGGTAAGACTTTTCCACAGCACCTTAATAAATCGTGTGCGAGCAAGCCACGCAGTGTGGTGTTCTGTATTATCATGATAAGCTGATGCAGAAGAAAGAACCCTACTAATGTGCTAATTTTAACTGTTATGGTACATTAAACCATTACAGTATATTGTTAACGTGAAAAATGTATGCTGGGCTCCCAAACCAATGTATGTACGAGTTAGCTAAACACTGTTTTGACAAATCGTTTTTCACAGGCAACTTGTCACTTAATGGGTTTTGCCTTCTTTCTAAATCAAAGTTATTTGGAGTCACCTTTGAAAAAAAAAAATCACTAAACAGATTCATTCTTAGTTAGAAAATATTTTATGATAGCACGTTCATTCTATAGAGACATAACAGTCTCTTAAGGAACACTGCACAGTAAATTAGATTCTGAATATAGGATTTACAAAAGCTTTCTGAAAATGTAGAAATGACTAAACACAATTACCTTGTAGACATGCAACACAACTTCCTGTCAGAGTACAAGAATCAGAATTTACTAAGTGGAAAGTAAGAAAGATAATCTTTAACTTACAGCATAAAATCCACTGGCACAGACTCTGATATTATGAGCCTTAAGAAATGCTACGAGCAGAACAGAAGGAAGTTGTAAACCAGCAGGTTCTAGAGCTGGTCTTGGATACTCTGTACTGTACACAAACCTTTCTGTCTACGTATCACTTCTCTAGCAATGGATAGGAAAGCAATTCTCAGGCATACAGGAAGATTTTCAAGGTCTCAGCTTTTTGTGTGATGCAGAGAGGGGCAAAATAAACAAAGAACAAACCTCCTTTCCTTTTCCTTTCTAATCAAGATAAGAGGCAACACTGCAGCATACTATGGAATATATGAAAGCTTCAGGAATTTGGATTTAAAACCCATTCAGATTTGACCCTCAAGCACTGCTGCACCCAGCTTTTGTAGGAGAGACTAATACCTGTGCAGTTTTCTTTCACAAGCTCTTGAGTCCTACCTTTTCCCAGCTCTCATTTCCCCCACAACAGCTCCTCTAACCTAAGAAAAAAACAAACAAACAAACCAACACTGACAGGGACTGCTGCCTTGGTGATTTTTTCTTCTGTGCTTGCAAGTCCCAGTGTCGAGACCCAGGAAGACAAATCACCACGTAAAAAAAAAAAATGGAATCAGTAAATCTGCACTCCAGGGTCTGAACAGCTCTGTGCAGACTGGAAGCATCTCACTTAGAGATGGAGATTCAAAAGTATAATTTGCTTTGCTTTGTGGGACACAACATATTGACTTCCCAGAATGCAGCATTTCTTTGCCAGTTTTTGCCTTCTTTTGGTTCTGATAACCTGGACAGATCATTCTTTGGTTCTGCACGGGCACTTAGTGCAGGGAAAAGACAACACCTGCCAGTTGCTTCTACGTGGTATCAACAGACAACAGTAAATACTGTATCACATGACAACTCACACTTCTCTATAAATTATTATTGTTTGTTTACCTGAGAGTGCAGCAAAGCTCCTGCAACAAAATTAAAATAAAACAAACAAACAAACAAAAAAACCAACAACAAAACAACTCTGAAACTACAGCCAACAGGTTTTTAATTGCCAAGCAAACTTTAGTAGCAACTTCATAGAAGAGTTGTCTTTTGTCTGTGAGCAATATCCTTAACACCACATTGTGAAAGACCAGTGCCTCTGCTGCGGGAAATTAAATTACATTCTCTTAATTTGACCCTGCTCACCATTGCTTTATGAAGCTGACATCTCTGATAAAAGCTGTCTTTGGCTGATACTTTGAGCAATAAAGGAATTTTCCCCATCTGGAAGTGGGCTGGCTAAGTCATACATCCTTATTACCCAAGCTCTGGTGCAATATTATAACTTTACCCACCAGATCCGTTGATTTACACATTTGTCCCCTGCCAGGTGACCACACTCCACTGTTTTCTCCCACTCAATGAGGATAAAGCTTTTAGGAGCACTGAGGTATCACAACACCTCCCAAATACGTGTTATTTTTCTTAATGTTCTGCAAGCACTGCAGAGACATTGCAAGTGATGACTCAGCTCTGAGAGCACCTACATTTAAATGGAGGGAAAAGGGGTCAACCAACAGGTACCTAAACGTATCCAGCAAAAGCAAGTGGCTGCCTGGGCTTTGGGCAATCTGTCAGGGATGAGTACTCCCTCCCACTCTCTTGTGGTTTTCTTTTCTTTAGTATTAGCAGTAGTGGTAGTACTTATTGTTATTGCTATTATTTTGTAGGGGAGGGTTTAATCTTCCTTTACTTATGTTTTTAGCCTATTTATTGTTCTCTAGGTTTGTCCTTCAGGGAGGAAGAAAGAAGAACTGTTTCAAAACACACTGGAAGACAATGGCTCAAATCCACCTCAGGTACACACTACAAATTCAGTATACAATACAGCAGGGAAAAATGCTGTTGCTAAGCAGATCCTCTTTTTTTCTCTGAAACAGAGTGAAAGACTCTGGCCCTGACTTTAAATGTTCCACCATGTAAATAACATGCAATAACGTGACATTTTAGCTACAATGTGTAGTGTTATCTGCTGTTTTAACCAGTTCTTAGTTGCATTTCAAAATAAACATCATGGTTTTGGTTTGAAATTTGTCAGTATGGGTTAGCAGAATCTTTCCGTTAATTTTTAATTATTTTATTTTCATTATACTGGTGAAGCAAACTGGTTCACTCTCTCCCTCACTGGTACCCCGCAGCAGATGGTTCAGAGAAGCTATTTCGTTAAAATAAACCCGCTAATTTCACATTCTGTTTACAACTTGCATATGGCGAGATGAGCACCTCACCTCACCAGCTTCCAGCATGCTGCGCAGGTCAAAATGAGGGCAGTTTGTTTTCATGAAGAAATCTCACTCCCTCCAGTCTCCACAGAAAAACAGAACATTTGGGGCTTCTCTTTGCAGTGCCTGAACCCTTCAACAGGGATTCAACCCAAGCAATGCTGACCTTTCCAGCAGCTGAGCCTTCCTACGGGTCATTCTCAACCACAGTCTTGCCTGTGTCTGTCTTTTCCTGAGATCAGTTTGACCCTTAGAACTTCTTCATCCCAAATCAGCCACAGAAGGTCAGCCTGATGAGGGATGGGGCTCCCCAGGCAAGTGGCACACAGGCAAGCACCAGAAATGCTAAAAAGTGCCCCTTGTCCCCAGCTGCCTCGGGGCTTTTTGAAGGTTATGTCATGTTGATTTCTCATAAAGGAGGTATTTTCAACATTGCTCTCTGCTCATTACCCCTTTTACAGCATTTAAATGAAGGAGAACTCTTCACATCTGAGAATTCGTTTAGAAATACGGGGCTTTCATGTGGTGTTTTATCTATTAAGTCATAAAGTGCTGTAAAATTTGCCATCTTTTACCCAGCTAGCCCCGTGAAGTTCACTGCTGTGATTTTATCGAGCTCCCCATCATCAGCTTAGGACGACGTGTAAAAAGCTAATATAGCTGGACAATCTACAAAACATTGTTTTTGAAAATAATTATTGTTCCTCTGCTTTTCTAAATCACGATGCTACCTTATCCCTAGGACTTCTGATAGCCAAAATTTATAAAAGGTGAGAATGTTTGTTGCAAGTTACAAGTAAATTTATATATTTTTGTTGCAAATTGTTACTTGAGCTTATATTTTAAGTATAGACTTTAAATCTCAGAAAACGCCCTTTGAAGTTATGGTCATGATAAACGAAGTTTACAGCATTAAAAAAAAGTCTTTCACAAAAGGAAAAGGAGCTTTTATAGAAGATTCATATAACTGACTAGAGATAGAGGAACTGAAGTTCCAAAGAAAGGACATTACACCACGAGCAGTTGATCTGTATCTTTACAGAAGTTACAATGGGATCCTTTCTAAGCAGTTTTAAGCTCACCTGATAAAATATCACAGAGAAATTATGTTTAAGGCTTCTGAGAATAGCCACAATTACCACTTCCACTACGGTTTTATCGCTGCTTACTCGCTGGAGTGGCACACCGTGTCTCACAGACTGATTGAGGGCACACAGGCTGCAAGAACCAGCACTAACTCCCCATGGAGCTCCCTCCTTTGTCCTCCCACAAAAAAACAACTGAAAAACTTCTCTGCACCTTTTAAAAATCCCTTTCTGTTCATGCCCTTTGGGACTTACTCTGCAAAATAGGGTACCACAGAGATTCTGGTGTTATTTGCGTCATTCAAAAAAATTAAGGGTGAGGATGGCAAACAATGGAAAACAAGCAAAGCAAAGCAACACAGGCATTACCACCGATGTGTTCATCCCTCTGCTGAAATTTGGAATTAGAAAACCACCTCATCTCCCTTTTGTGGCCAATGATGCTCCGCAGCAAGGCCACCGTCACCGCAGCGTTCACAGCAACTTGTTGTGATAAATGAACAAGTGCAGCCAGTCACGCTTTGGATCTCGAGCTGCCTCCCTCCTGTGATAACCGCTCAAAAAACGTGATGCACCATGAACCAGCACCCACCCCGCGTGGCTGGGGATGCTGCCAGACACAGACACGCTCCTTTGCACTCGCATTTTAGCCTTAAACACAGTCACTGCTCAGGACAGCAGCTCAACAGGCACTTCGGAACACCATGCAGGAGGAGGTAAAAAAAAAAAAAAAAAAGGCTCTGCTGATCATTGCTTACCAACACAGGACTCCCCGGAAAGAGAATAGCTTCCATTGTCATGGAAACCGCTTCTGCACTCACAGTGGTACCACCCTGGGAGGTTAACACAGCGTGAATGGTTGTGACACTCAATGATCCCCTCTGCACACTCATCAATATCTGCCTCAGAGAAAAACACAAGCCAGCCAGGAAATTAATTTCCTTTGACACCAATACTGTAGGTTTGTTTGTTTTTTTAAAAATGTTATGGGTTGTTTTTGGGGTTTTTGGTTTTTCTTATTTAAGTTTCCTTTAATAGATGGATTAAGGTTTATTACGGTCCCCAACAACAGACACTTAAAGCATGACTCACACAACAACAATAAAAAAATAACAATAACACATCACGTAATCTGTTACAGACAACACATTCTTTTACACCACAATTTCTTAAAAACGCAAAGCAAACATGCAGATTTTTTTTTGTTCCTTATTTGGTTTTTTTGTTGGCTTTTTGAACTCAGAAGTTACAAAGCACTGCAGAACAGGTTGCCCACCGAAAAGGCAGTTTCAGCAATATTCCTGCTTTGCAAACTCCACGCCCCAGGATACCTCGGAAAGAGAGAGCATTTCCTTCAGGATTTGTGTTTCCAGCATTCAGCTGCGATATTGGCAGTTATCTGGCACTTAAGGTGCTCGGAGCACTTGGCAAACACTGGTTAATCTCTTTTTGTTCCCGTGATCAAAATGAATACCCGGCACGGGTGTAACAGCGTGTGACAAACAGAAAAAGCAGTCCACGTTTCAGCTGCAAATAAAACATTTAGCAGGAAAAGAGTGAGGCAAAAATGACAGCAAATCTGTAGCGATGGAAAGATACAGCATGATGAACACCCTGCTGAGTGTCAACAAAATGTGCTGGTCTTAGGAAGGAGTTTCTCAGATTTCTCTAACCTGTTTAATAGAGACCTCTTAATTGCGAGTAACCTTGGCTAATCGTGGCTGGCACCTGGCTGCTTCTCCCCTTTGAGCATTTTTCAGCACATTTTGGAGGGTTGTAATTAAAATTAGCAAATTAATTATATGTTAACCTTGCGGTAATTTAAGAAGCCATTATATTTTCATTCCTCTATTCAGTCCAACTCCCCCCACTCACAGTTTTGGACAGTTTTCAGCTGGGTACCTTATCAATTAAAATGAAACTCAAATTATTCCCATATAATTCCCATTTTCACCCACTGAGACTTTTTTTTTTCCTTGGCACACTTAAAATACGCATAAAATTGTGCGCACCAAACCAAAAAATTTGGGGAAAATAGGTTCAGAAACTGCATTGAGCTCTGCAAGCATCAAAGAAGAAATGTCTCACGACCCTGATGCAAGACTGAGTAAAGGTTATTAACTAACCCCAGAGTGTAGCTTTTATCTCAATTTGCAAAATACATACACCAATATGGTTTCATGGTCTGCACTGGAGTCGTGTTGATGTACATGGAAATGGATTTGAAGTATCCTTCAATACAATCCCATTTTCTTATTTGTTACAAGCAATACCATAGAAAAGTTTGATTTTACCTCATTTCAGTAGCAATACTTATTCTTGTGGAAATATGGCTGAGAAACCTTAAAAAAAAATGCTGTTTTCCAAGATTTGTGTCCAGCATGAACCACTCTAGCATGAACCAAGGTGTCTACATAACAGGGTTATAAATGTTATTTATTTGTAGCTTTATTCTGCTCCCATCTAACAATAAAGTCAACTTTTTTAATGCTTTAAAATCTGTCGCTGCTGCCACCTTCTCTGTACCTTTTATTTTGTGGGAGCTAATTTTAGTGTTAAAACACTGCACAAATCTAGCTGTCCATCAGCGGTGAGTGGTGCTTGCAAACTCAGACACTTTCAATTCATTACAGCAAATGGAATTTATAACCACGATCTTTTCACATGTCATGGCTGATGAAACAAGTTTAATCCTATTTTGGAAAGTGAGTGACTTTGCTATTGCAGGTCAACTGCAAATGAATCCTCCTCCTTGCTTTCCTTTCTTCCCCAGTGTTGAACTGGAGAATGTCCACGTTTAAAAACTGCTTCCTGGGGCCAGTCCTGTGCTGGACCTCTATCCATTCAATTTTACACTTTTAATTTACAAAATCAATAGAGTGTTCCTAAACTTCATCCCTAAGCCTAAGCCCTTTCAAAAGTATATGATTCCTGCTCATGGTACAGGATGCTAATTGACTAGCAGGTAAATTTTCAGAGAGCCTGTCTGGCAGGGTACCAAAACCAAGTAGCAGTTTACTCAGTGGAAAAAGAGCAGCTAGGCTATGTCTCTAGAGATTATGTCAGAAAAGTAAAATAATACATAGAACTATTTCAAGACCAGATGACTTTATTGTGGCAGTACCATAACTGTTCCAGCTTTTATTCCCTGATGTGTAGGGAGGCACTAACCAATTTCTTCAACCAGCAGAGCTAGGGGAAAAAAAAAAAAAAAAAAGAAAGACTCACTTTCAGTTTTACAGGTTCTTCCTTTACTTACTTGACCTCCTTAAACCAGTGGAGTTATGCCAGCATTGCCCTGCCCGTGCTGGAGGCAGTGGGTAAAGGATAAGGAGAAGCTGTTTTGGGAAAATCTGTCCTGACAGACACTTGATGCAGGAGCAACTGGTGAAAAACCCTTTGAGCTCTACCCCCTACCACTGCCTCTCCTCTTCAGGTCAAGCACATATACAAACACAGCTCTGCAGGCACAGCAAGATATTGTGGATGTTTTAGAAATTCAGATTAAAGATGCTCAGAATACCAAGAGGAAAATGCAAAAAACCAGCTTTATATAATGGTATGTCATATACCACGACACTGCTTAGTTAACTTAATAGATAATTTCCATTTGGACATACCAGGGCTTTTGAAAACACTTTTTTTTGAGGATTTCTTCTGCATAGGAGGATGTTGCTATACATAACAGCCAGTTCAGGGAATTAGAATCAATTCACTTTTCTTCATCTTTGCTTTTCCATCTTTAGATCCTACCACTATATTTGCATACTTGCCTCAGGATAAAAGTCTTTCTTATCCAAGTCTGTTTTAGGGTTTTGCTATGGAATTTCAGCCTCAGATGCATTAATTTTTGGGGGGTTTAGCGTGTACAGATGCTTACCAAAGTGTGCTATAACTTCCTTCAAAAAGTTACGTTAAGCTGAAAAGAAAGTGTACACTTCTGACCCGTGAGTGAAAACAGCACAAAAAATTAGAATAGTTCTTCAAAGGAGCACATTAAAACCTGCAACGTGGCACAGGCCAGAAGAAACAACTGCTGGGCATCTCTTGGCTATGTTGCTGTGCTCCTGGTCTTGCCTGCCCTCGGAGCTCGTGGCAGCAGGGCGAGCACACAGTCCCCCAGGGCTCCAGGCTCTGCCTTCTCACAGCACCCTTTAAGTGTAGTATTTTTCATTTCTAGCTCTAATTCAACTTAAGCCATGGCTGCTTTTACCACCATGGAACTATTTTTGTGGGTGTTTTTTTTTTTCATTCAAGCCTTCTTACAAAGTCCATGTAAGAGGAGATCTCTTACAGACTGTCCCGTTGCCTGCTTTTACCCCACTCAGTCACTGAACTGCCATTAGTGGAGAATTGTTAATGGATCTGGCAACACTCCACGTTCAAAAACGCTTTGTAAATGCTCAAAAATGGCACAATTTTGTCTCGTAGCAAAAAGGCTGGTTGTGTATAAGCCCTTGCAGGATGTTAATCCTGTCCTTTAAGGACAGGTCTGTAATTTTTACTTTTAGCATCCCAGCTTCTTGCATTATTCATGAGGGTATTTATGCAGAGAAGATAAATAGGATAATTTAACTCAAAATAAAACACAATGGCTTCAGAACCCGGTGAAAAAGTAAAATTAAAATAATTCAATCTTTTCTAATGCCTCATCACATTTAAGTCACTGTGTGATAATACTGAAAGGAAAACTGTTCAGTGTCAGGTAACAGCTAGCAATCTAAAATTTCAATGACACAGAAGAGCTGTATTATAAAAGTGTCTGTTCATCAAACCCTTACAGAATTCTTTTTCATGCAAAAAAACCCAAAAACCAAAAAACAAAACCACCAAACATGATCCTTATCTTTAGCTCTCTGTTGACCAGGAGACCTTGAAGCAGGAAAAGTTTGTACTAACAAGAAAGGATCACACAGGTCTCAAGCTTCCTGAATTAAAATGGTACCCTGACAGTTAAGTCCATTACTTCCAGAGCGCTGCAGCTTTGTTTCCCACATTACAGTATTTTTCTCCGACATAAAAAAACCACCAGAAAAATGCACCCAGCCAAGCGAGGCAGAAGTTACATGTAAAATACAGCCTCTTCTCATCTCCTGAGCCTCTCCACAAGACAGAGAGAGCAAGAAAGGGATGTCACTGACAGCGCTATGCAAACAGTGCCCCTGCCGCAAAGGATTCGTTCGACTACTTCAAATAAACCCTGAAAGCAAAGAGAGCTACTTTGGATGAGAACAGGAGATGAAAAAAATCTTTCTCTCTAAAAAAAAAACACCACCAAAAAACCACCAAAAAAACACAAAAAACCACAAACCAACAATCCCTACAGTTGAGGTCTTTTTTAGTCTTCATTATTAACCCTTATATTGGCTATATTATTGAATCTCTTTATTAGCTTTGACAGTTCTCTACGAGAAGGGGCCTGCCTTTTTTTTTAAAAAAAAAAAACCAAATGCTATACAAAGTAGAAACACATCCTCAGCAGCCACCCTTAAAGTCTGCTAAGATTTTCCCAGCAGAAGAGGCTACAGCGCTGACCTTGTCACGGGTTTGAGCCAGGTTTGTGCCTGGAATCCCAAGGGTACGGCTGCACTACAGCAATTTAGCTGTTAAACAAATGGTAACTTAAAGAACACAGATAACTCTGTAATTAAGTCACATTTGAATAATGACTCAGGGCTGCTGCTCAACCTCACGGGGCCAGTTAATTCTCAGGGCAAAACAGAGATACTAAAAAGTGGAAAGGGCAGGAGAGACATCTGTCTGAGAACTGTCTACTGAGATTTTTAGTCGTCCATTTTTTTGTTTCACAGTTTTAAGTATCTCAGGTGATAAAGATCCCCACCAAACCCACCCCCCCCACCTCTTCCTGAAGAGCTGCTTGGGAAATTTTTCTTTGACA